CTCACACTCTGACACCTGAACACCCTGCTCACACTGACACCTGAACACCCTGCTCACACTGACACCTGAACACCCTGCTCACACTGACACCTGAACACCCTGCTCACTCCAACACCTGAACACCCTGCTCACACTCTGACACCTGACCACCCTGCACACACTGACACCTGAACACCCTCACACTCTGACACCTGAACACCCTGCTCACACTGACACCTGAACACCCTGCTCACACTGACACCTGAACACCCTGCTCACTCTGACACCTGAACACCCTGCTCACACTCTGACACCTGAACAACCTGCTCACTCTGACACCTGAACACCCTGCTCACACTCTGACACCTGAACAACCTGCTCACTCTGACACCTGAACACACTGCTCACACTCTGACACCTGAACACCCTCCTCACACTCTGACACCTGAACACACTGCTCACACTGACACCTGAACACCCTGCTCACACTGACACCTGAACACCCTGCTCACACTCTGACACCTGAACACCCTGCTCACACTGACACCTGAACACCCTGCTCACACTGACACCTGAACAACCTGCTCACACTGACACCTGAACACCCTGCTCACACTCTGACACCTGAACACCCTGCTCACACTGACACCTGAACACACTGCTCACACTCTGACACCTGAACACACTGCTCACACTGACACCTGAACACCCTGCTCACACCAACACCTGAACACACTGCTCACGCTGACACCTGAACACCCTGCTCACACGCTGACACCTGAACACCCTCCTCACACTCGGGGGGTCAGCGGGGTCAGACACACAATGCTGCTGCTGTCGCCTCGTGTAGGAATGTCAGCTTCTCTAAATTTAGGATGAAAAGAGCCAGTTCCTGGAATTATTTCATATCTGGAGTCAAACAGGGAGACTCTGTTTGAAAAACCTCGGCAGCCTTATTTTATTTGTGTATTTATTACAGCTTTTTGTTCTGTCTGTAAMGTGGCTGCAGTGGAGCTGATGGCAGTAAGAAACGACCCTGCTGCATCACAGAGGAACGAGCTCAGACATTAACAGGACAACTCCTCGCTCTGATCTGRTGGTGAAAAGAGAAGTGAAGAATTAAACAAAGATAATAAAAGTGAGATTTTTTTTTCATTTCTGGCTGCAGAGATAAACAGGTGGGGGTGGGGGGGTCCTCGTCMCTGCAGGGCTTTGTTAGGAGACTGACCTGGTTCTGCTTCCAGGATCCTCCCACCTCTGATCATCTCATCATCACCTGATTTTAATCCACTCCCCTCTTCATGTAAAAACCTGCTAGCCTCTTCAGTAAACACGTTTTAATTTGATTTCAGGCTCCAGTTTTCCTTCTGAAGCGAGTTATTTCCACTGATGAAGAGTTACCTGCTGCTCCGACAGACGCGAGGCTTTTATTTTGTGATGTTCATGTGGAGTAATGATCTGCAGCGGCTCTCTGCCAGACGTTTACAGCAAACTGTCTGATGCACRAATAACAGTGTGTCTGTCAGGTGAACCTGACATGTTCCAGCTTTGAAGCAAAGTTGTTATTCAGAGGCAAAACTGCACCTCCTGTGTGTTTATTTATTTATGTTTTAACTTTAGTCATGATTAGTTTTCACAGGTCAACAGGATCTTGGCTAAAACTGWTAAAAATCATTTCTACATGCATTAAAACAGTTAAAATCTGAACCAGCTGAATCAGAAACATTACACAACACAGCGTCCACACAAATCTGTACACATGTTGGGATCATTTTTGTTAAAATCCATGCCAACAAATATTCTACCATTCTGTCCCTTCGAATTTTACRTTCTGCTACATTTTCTACGTGAACTTCAGCTACTTCAGCTACTTTTAGCCTTTGCTACATGTACCATTCTGTTTCTTTTTGCTGCCGTTCTAATTCTTTATTTTTCTACAATTTTGTGCTAACTTTAGCTGTTTTGCTAATTTATGATTTGATTTCTTAAGTGCTCTTTTCAGTGATAATTTGACAAATATTTGCTTCTGTTTAGTGAATGTTAGCTATTTTTTCACTAATTTTAGCTTTAGCATCAGTTTAGCTTTTAGCTGCCCTTTAGTTACTGTTTGTGCTTTTAGCTGCTGTTCAGCTGTCTTTAGTTACTGTTTTGGTGCTTTTAGCTGCTTTTTGGCGCGTTTAGAACATTTCTGCTTTTAGCTTCTAGTTCTGCTTCTTTGCTTTTAGTTTTCAGCTCAGGTTCTGCTCCTTTTAGCTTGTGTTCTGCTAATTGTAGCCTCAGTTTAGCTTGTAATAAGTCAGTTTTAGCTTCTTCAGTAAAGTCCTTCACAGTTTCTGTAGTTATCACCTGTTTATGTATTTAAAGCTGAGCTTTTATTTTGTAAAATGCACGAGTATAAAAGTGACAAAACAGCAGCAGCTGGAGCAGGAAACAAAGCAGTCCTCGGGCTGACAAAGCAAAGGTAAAACCTGAGATCCTGCAGGTGGATCATGGAGCACCCCGCCCCTCCCTGCAGATCAGGGAGGTGGGGGGAGTAGCTGAAGTGCTCCCTCAGCGTTAGGCTATAAGAGGCTTTGAGAAACAAACAGCAGCAGGAACGAACACTTTCAACTCTTCCTCATCTCCTCATCTTCACACGATGACTTTATTTATCACTGATTCTTAAAGGTAGGAACGTGTATTTTATTTACAAATGTTGACATTCTTTTYATTTTGATGGACAAACACAAATAACTTTGGTTTGTTCAGATTGAACCTTGCAGAGTTTTAAAAATATTCTTCACAAAATAATTTCATGAGCCAAAATTATTCTTAGTTTTATTTAATTAAACTGGTGGATTTCAGCAGGAATCATCTGTTTAACTTGTATTGAATTTGATGATGACAGTTCTCCTTTTCTTCCTAATATTTCCTCTTCTGGTGTTTTTGACCTGATTTCAGCTCATTTCTTATCAAATTATCATCTGGATCATGTTTTACTGCTGTTTGTTGTTTAAAAAAGGTATATAATTCAGGTTTAATTGTACAAGAGTCAAACTAAGTTTAACTTCTGTCTCTGGTTCTGAGTTTTGCTGTTAGTTTTTAACTTTTTTTGTTTTGTGCACTTAAATGTTTTACTGGACTTATTTCCCCRTAAAGTCTGAATAGTTTGGAGCTTTTTAAGGCCATGGGTAAAACATAAAGTTTGACAATGTGTGAATTAGTGAAGGCAGCACAGTGGTGCAGCGGTTAGGGAAGCGAGAAGGTCACAGTTCCTCCTGTGCTCAGGTGGGTTTTCTCCATGTGCTCTGGTTTACATATATTAACTTAATGTTAGCCTAATTGTCTCTCTGTGTCTCTGTGATGGACGTCCTGTCCACGGTGTCTTGCACAATGATTGTTTTTTGTTTTTTTAAAGAAAATTGCAGCAACAAATATGTTTTCCGTCATGAAGTTATTCAAACATCTTCAATGAGAAACACAAAATACAGGAACATGAAATGTTCAATTCATCCATTTTCTTCCTCTTATCCGGGGTCAGGTCTCGGGGGCAGCAGCGAGAGACCCAGACTTCCCTCTCTCCAGCCACTTGGACCAGCTCCTCTGGGGGAATCCCAAGGTGTTCCCAGGCCAGCTGAGAAACATAGTCCCTCCAGTGTGTCCTGGGTCTTCCGCTGGGTTTCCTCCCAGTGGGATGTGTCCAGAACACCTCACCAGGGAGGAGTCCAGGAGGCATCCTAACCAGATGAACCACCTCAACTGGCTCCTCTGGACGTGGAGGAGCAGCGGCTCTACTCTGAGTCCCTCCTGGATGACTGAGCTTCTCAGCCTCTCTAAGGGAGAGCCCAGCCACCCTGTGGAGGAAACTCATTTCAGCTGCTTGTATCTGTGATCTCGTTCTTTTGGTCCCTACCCAAAGCTCGTGACCATAGATGAGGGTAGGAACATAGACCGACAGACCAGTACAGCGCTCACATCATTGCAGACGCAGCACCAATCCACCTGTCGATCTCCCGCTACATTCTTCCCTCATTCGTGAACAAGACCCCGAGATACTTAGACTCTTCAACTTGGGGCAGGACCTCCTCCCCGACCCRGAGGCGGCACCCTACCATTTTCCGGCTCAAGACCATGGTCTCTGATTTAGAGGCACTGATCCTCATCCCGGCTGCGAACCGCTCCAGTGAGAGCTGGAGATCAGGATCTGATGTAGCCAATAAGACCACCACACCATCCACAAAAAGCAGAGATGTGATCCTAAGGTCACCAAAAAGGATCCCCTCAACACCTCGGCTGCTCCTAGAAATTCTGTCCGTAAAAGCTATGAACAGAATTGGTGACAAAGRGCARCCTTGGAGTCCAACTCTCCCCGGTGTCCGACTTACTACCWGCAATGTGGACCAAGCTGTGGCACTGGTCGTACAGGGATCTAACAGACTGTATAAACGAGCCTGGTACCCCATACTCCTGGAGTACCCCCCACAGGAGTCCCTGAGGGACACGGTCGAACGCCTTCTCCAAGTCCACAATGTTCAGTTTATTCTTTACTGAACAACAACTTCATTTTTATTCCTTTGAAAGTGAAATGTTTCTGTTAAATCATCATTTTGCAAAGCCAAAAGAAAACCACTTTGTTTGACTCCAGGCTGCTCATTATTATTATTTATTTTAATTTAGCTCCAGTTCAAAATGTCAGCATGACTCTGCAAGAATAATAATAACAGTAGACATTTTGTGATGACAGGARAAGACAAGTTTTCAGATTTTTATATCAGAAGCCATAAAAGAGGCTAATGATTTATGGAGAGMAACAAAAGTTAACAATCAGCTGTTATTGTTTTTCTTTCTTTGAGTTATTCAGTAATCTGTTCAGATCATTCATTCACCTACATAAACAACTTATTCAAACATATTTTGAACCTTTGTCTTATTTTTCTTGTCTTTTCCCAGGATGCCATCATTCAGCAACGTTGCATGACTGTTTCCCTCCTCCAGCAGCTCAAAGAGGTAAACAGGCTCTGATGACGAGTCTTTGCTAAAATCACTTCACCCCTTTAACTCGTCAATCCTCTCAGGACCCTCGAAGTACCCCTCACAGGGGGGATGCCAGTGTTGCTGAATGCCAATGCCTCTTTCAGCTCTAGACAGGAGCTCCTGGACCTGCAGGACTGTCCTCACAATGGGGGTCCCTCTGTGGACACCTCTAGTCCGGAGGATTCCCTCACAGGAAGCCCCATCGGCTCCRGTCCTAGAAGCCCTGACCGGCCCGGAGCCGATGGCTCCATCAGGCCCCATATCTTTACGGGGGCCACCATGCTCCCCGGGGAGTTGTACGGAGGGGCCATGCAGCCTGACCCAAAGGTTCCTCTGGGGATATCGCCGATTTCCAACGACTCGGACCACCTGTGTGGTTGGGGGGCTCTGACACCCAGATTCATCCAGGTTTTCAACACCCCGCGCTGGGTGCTGTTCTTCCTCTGCGTGGCCTCTTTCCTCCAAGGGATGATCATCAATGGCTTCATCAACACCGTAGTGACCTCCATCGAGCGGCGCTTCGACCTGCGCAGCTACCAGGCCGGCCTCATCGCCAGCTCCTACGACATCGCCACCTGCTTCTGCCTGGCCTTCGTCAGCTACTTCGGCGGCACGAGGCACAAGCCCTGCTGGCTGGGGTGGGGCGTGCTCATCATGGCGCTGGGTTCTCTGGTGTTTGCCTTGCCTCATTTCACCGCGCCCCCTTACCTGGTCAATGTGCCAGAGCAAACGGGAATGTGCTCTGCTAACCGAACCAACCAGTGCCGGGACACGGAGGCCGGAGGACTGTCGGGTTATCGATTTGTGTTCATGCTGGGACAGTTCCTGCACGGCATGGGTGCCACTCCTCTCTACACGTTAGGGGTCACGTACCTGGACGAGAACGTCGGCTCCAACTATGGACCAGTTTACATTGGTGAGTCAGCAGGGGCTTTTTKTGGACAAATATTGATACATTTATGGAAGAAGGAAATGGTTCAGTTTTGAGTTTTTGCTCTGTTTCAACACTGAGATTCGGTGAAATAAATCTAAATTTAAAATTTTAAGTTTTTAACCTCACGCAACCCTGAAAAGGAAGAAGCTTGTACAGAAAATGGATGGATGAAGTTTTTAACCTATTTTCCTCAAACATACCCTTAGCAAAAAGTAGTTTAAATGTACTACGTGCATACTTATTTTAAACACACACACACACACACACACACACACACACACACACACACACACA